CACACAGGGCTTTGATGAATGGAGTGTAATGTCATGCAAACCTTCAAAGCATGTATTTGGAAAACACAAAGTGCACAGAGTAGTGTCTCTCTGTGTGCCAAAGTGTATTGCTCTAATGACCACACAGTGTGTGTTCTCTATAAAGAGAAATGGAGGTTGTCCTGCGTGCACTGATGTGCATTAGAACAGTCATGCTACATTTCAATCCAGTGCCCTAAAACACTTCAAACTATTGTAGGTACAAAGTTTGATGTTAATGTGTTGAACTTGAAACCACTCTGCGAATTCCTCAATCAGTGAAGCAGATCACAGATCTTGCAACCAGCTGCTCAGTACTACACTTTTGCCTAACTTTTTTTTTGCAGATACTGATAAGCATGGGTGTATTTTCAATATAGACTGGGAACTGGGGAAAACACTACAATAGTTTGTGTGAATTATTTTAATTTGTTGAATTTTCTTTATGAAAATAAAGACCTACTTAAGGGTATGTTAAGTCACAAAACATCAAATTAAAATACAGATCATCATCACCTGCATATAACTACCGTTGTTAATGTATTTATTTTCTTAAATGGTGCATGTATTTTGCCCTCAGTGAGGACTATAATTACATTATTTGTGCTGGGCAATTGGGAGGTATAACTGTATCATTAAAAAAAAAATCTCCTTTTAGTTTGATTGTTCACTTACATCTGTGTGTACAGCGCTGTAACCATGTCACAGTTTATCTAGCTGGGCTATCCAGAGTTTTATTTATCTAAAGTGTACAGATTGTTTTTTTGGAAATTGTTGTGCAGCTTAGGATGTGTCACTTAAGTACTGGATTGAGTATCATGAAGGCGATGCTTAATGCTTCATGTATTAACTGCAGTATATCATGGAAAGCATTGACAATGAACAATAAACTGTGCTAATAAATTTTACATGTGTCATGTGTTGTTTTTTTAAAGTTGGGATTTTCCAGGGTAGGATCTAGGCATCAGACTAATCATGACTAACCATAATGGCCAAGCCCATTCACTGCTGCATAAAGGGCTACTTTGGTGAAGTGCACCTGTGCCTCAACAATGTTCACTATTAAGTATTTATGTATTCGGAACATGTTGTAAAATTACTTTAAAACAAGGCCCCATTAACTTTTGTAGCTATAGGCATTGTGGAGGAATTAGGCTTATTTATTCACACCAGCAGCCACGCTGATTGCATGGTTGCTGGTGTGCACTGGAAGGAAACGGTGCCAAATACACTGATCCCAGTGTATCACACTTTTTTTGTTAGAACTTCATTGAAAGGTCACAAAGGATAATTCATTAAGTTCTATTCACACAGCAGTAATGCAATGCGGTCATTTGCATGGCAACCCACTGCAGTGAAATAAATTGATACATGCAACACAGTAGTATGAACTGCCCTCAAAGAGACAAAGCTTTTTTCCTTGTCTCATATTAATACTGCAATGACCAATCCTAGTGCACCTGATAAGAACAGGCCCTCAATCTTCCAATTTCATGACACTGAAATCATAGATCTTTTCCTATCCCCCCCCCCCCAATAATCTTGGTAGCCTTCAATCCCTCTATACACACTGCAGGTGTTCCTATGCTGTTAGAAAATGAATGAAACTTAACTTCAGAGTCTTTGTCGTGATCTTTGAAAATAAATGACTTCACGGAACAAACTGCTATATACTGTAGGTCAGGGATGGCTTGTTTTGATACCTGATTGCTCTACTGTTCGTTAAGAATATGGATAATACTTTACATTCATATTCTGGGCACATGTACACTTTATGAAAACATTATATACAGTTGTATTCACAATAATAGCAGTCAGACATCACTAACCTGATCAATCACTGTTTTTGGTAGAAAAGATATTTCTACATGGCAAATAATTTACTAGCAGGTGTAGTAGAGTAATAGAAATCCAACAGACCCAACAGTCATGACATGCATGCTGCTGATTCTGTGTAATTGAATCACTAATTGAAAGGGGCATGTTCAAAATAATAGCAGTGTGGAGTTCTATTAGTGAGGTCATTCATTCTTTGAAAAACAGGTGGCAATTATTGCCCTTATTTAAGGAAGGAAGGCAGCAAATGTTGTACATGCTGGTTACAGTGCATTTCTCTCTGAAATTCTGAGGAAAATGGGTCGTTCCAGACATTGTTCAGAAGAACAGCGTACCTTGATTAAAAAGTTGATTGGAGAGGGGAAAACATATAAAGAAGTGCAGAAAATGATAGGCTGCTCAGCTAAAATGATCGCAAATGCTTTAAAATGGCAACCAAAACCTGAAACGTGGAAGAAAGCAAAAAACTACCATTCGAATGGATAGAAGAATAGCCAAAATGGCAAGGACTCAGCCAACAATCAGCTCCAGGAAGATCAAAGAAGGTCTAAAGTTCCCTGTGAGTACTGTTACAATTAGAAGACGCCTATGTGAAGCCAAGCTATCTGCAAGAAGCCCCCGCAAAGCCCCACTGTTGAAAAAAAAGACGAGCTGAAGAGGTTACAATTTGCCAAAGAGCACATTGACTGGCCTAAAGAGAAATGGCGCAACATTTTGTGGACTGATGAAAGTAAGATTGTTTTTTTGGGTCTAGTGGCCGGAGACAGTTTGTCAGACGACCCACAAACACTGAATTCAAGCCACAGTACACTGTGAAGACAGTGAAGCATGGTTGCACAAGCATCATGATATGGGGATGTTTCTCATACTACGGCGTTGGGCCTATTTATCGCATACTAGGGATCATGGATCAGTTTGAATACATCAGAATACTTGAAGAGGTCATGCTGCCTTATGCTGAAGAGAAAATGCCCTTGAAATGGGTGTTCCAACAAGACAACGACCCCAAACACACCAGTAAACGTGCAACATCTTGGTTCCAGACCAACAAGATTGACGTTATGGAGTGGCCAGCCCAATCCATGGATCTTAATCCAATAGAAAACTTGTGGGGTGACATCAAAAATGCAGTTTCTGAGGCAAAACCAAGAAATAGAGAACTGTGGAATGTAGTCCAATCATCCTGGGCTGGAATACCTGTTCACAGGTGCCAGAAGTTGGTTGACTCCATGCAACACAGATGTACAGCAGTGCTCAGAAACAGTGCTTATAGAACTAAATATTCATTAAGTGATTCAAAGGAAAGCAAAATCTTCAAACATTTTTCAGTTTATATAGTGAATGTTTGAGTTTGTAAAGAAGAATATAAACACTGCTATTTTTTTTAACAGTCTAATATTCACTTTTCTTCAATTTGTTTAGAGGAACAACACAAATTTGATATATTTTTCTTCATGTTTTGATTTGGAATAGAATGTGTAGTGTTCCCAATGCATTTGTGTGTATGGAAATAAAAGCTATTAGAAGGATTTTGAGCTTTATTCACTTTTTTCAACACACTGCTATTATTTTGAACACAACTGTATGTCCTCCACCTCTTTTTGGGTGTTAAAGTGTTAATAAAGCCATTTCAAAAATTAAAATAACAAACATGTTCTACTTATCTGCTCTGTGCAACGGTATTGCACAGAGTGTTCTGATCCTCCTCTTCTTGGGTCCCCCGGTGGCAATCTTGGCTCCTCCTCCTCTGCGTGTGTCTCCATAGCAAGATGTTTGATATGGAGGCACACAGTGTCTGCACGCTACCTAGCTGCGTGTCTATACACAGCGGGACATAGCCCCACTCCCACCTCACTGCATTTGATTGACAGCAGCAGGAGCCAATGGCTTCTGCTGCTGCTCGAGTGCTGTGTGAAGAGGAAGACAGGGGAGAAGAGATGCAGCCATGCATAGCTCTGGACCTCTTCTCCCCCTCTCTTCCCCTTCACACGAGGAAGTGGGTGGGGGCAGAGAAATAGAAAATGTTTCTTTTTTTACCTTAATGAAAGAAATGCATTATGGTAAAAAATGTTTTAAGCTTTGGTGACACTTTAATAAGCTCCTAATACCTTTTTAAAGGCTGCTTTATGGCTGGAAAGGTACTTGATAGTGCTCTGAATGTCTGTCCATGTGTCAACGTCAGTCTTGCTGCTTAAAACTATAAATTGCAAGTAATTGTTTAACTGAAAGAATATTCAATTTCTTGATAGTACTTAACAAACACGGGATAAACTATCCATGTACATTGGAGTTATACTGCTAACTTCATGAAATTGGGCACTGGCAAACAAAGCTATGAATACAGGCTCATATGACTCTTCCCACTTCCAACATGCCTCAGTATTTTTCCTAATGTTTTAGTGTCTCTGCTCTGGGGCCAGCCTGTAATGTGCTTCCTGAGCACTGGACTATGAGTTAGGTGTTCTCCTAAACACTCTACATTAGAAAAGATCAATTAAACAGAATGGATTTTTATCTGCCAAGAACACATATCACACAAGTCACTGCATAAGTAGCCTTATATCCAGGGGCGGACTGACAACTCATGGGGCCCCCCGGGCAATAGGAGATCATGGGGCCCCTGTGTCCTTGCCCAAACTCAAAAAAGACTATGAAAAAGGTACCAGGGGCATCTCATGGGGCCCCCCTACTGACCCCCCGGGCAATAGGGGATCATGGGGCCCCTGTGTCCTTGCCCAAACTCAAAAAAGCCTATGAAAAAGTTACCAGGGGTATCTCATGGGGCCCCCTACTGACCCCGGGCCCTCGGGCAGTGCCCGGGTTTCCAAATGGTCAGTCCGCCCCTGCTTATATCAGTATATCACCAAAACATTGCACATAGACTAACATGTCAATGCTAATTGCCTCATCACCACCTAGCAATATACTGTAGTACAAATAGAAAATGTACTTTTGTGGATTTATGATGAATATCATGCACCAAATTTTCTATGTGTGGTGGCCAACAGATCTCAGCGCCTTTCGCTATTAGCTTTTTCAGGAGAACAAGAGGCAATCTAAATTAATGACAGGCAGGTAAGTACACATACAAATAACAGTCATGTAAACTTTAACCCAGGTTCCTCATTAAAACGTACATTAATATTTAAAACAGGGCTTGAAATTTCCACTCGCCTGCTTGCCAATGGCGAGTGGAAATTATGGTGGGGGCGAGTGTGTCCCCCAGGGCCGTCATGCTGAGCAGGCTCGGAGCTCAGTCTGGATCTGTCATTGGCACTGGGAGCCGTCAGACTGCGCAGTGAAAGCAAAGCAAGGAGTGTGTGCTGTGCTCTCTGCCTCCCCCTAGAGTGCAGTACCCGGCTCTGTGAGTGAACAAAGAAGTAATGCAACTTTTTATGGGGGGGGGGGGGGGGGTATGTGTGTGTCTGTGTATGCATGTACATGTGTCTGTGTGTATGTACATGTATGTGTGTGTGTGTACATGTGTCTGTGTGTGTATGTACATGATTGTGTGTCTGTATGTACATATATCTGTGTGTATGTACATGTGTCTGTGTGTATGCGTGTCTGTACGTGACTGTGTGTGTATACATGTGTCTGTATGTGTGTGTGTATGCGTGTACATGTTACTGTGTGTGTATGTACATGTTTCTGTGTGTGTACAGGTGTCTCTGTTTGTCTGTGTTTGTTGGTGGCGAGTAACTCTTTGGCCTGGCTAGTAGCTCAGGACTTGAAATTTTAAGCCATGATTTAAAACAATAGAATGTGATTAGTCCTAGCACCACACCCACTGGAAACAGATGGATCTATTCTGTGTGAGACCATTGGGAAGAGGGGATCAAGATGCATTCAATGTATGGCTAACCAAACTACTGCATCTGTGAAGGTATACAGTATATGAAAGCACATACATACAGTATGTTCATATCCATTCACCATAGGAAGCATATAATTGGCCTATTTCCCCATATTTACATCTAAATACCCAACCAAATTTACCCACACTGAAACACTCATACCTACCAATAATTAGCTTGGCGAATAGTATTGTCTAAACGAATGGGGGACTAAAACATTGTGCCCCCAGAGTAACTGTGCAGTTAGTATCCATAAGAGTAGAAATACATTTAAGGTAGAGAAGGATGGTACCATAAGCAATTATTCCCCAAATAAACACTCCAATAATGTCCAGCATTATCTCAGGAGACAAAAGCATACCCACTGAAGTATTTCCCCAACATAGCTTACATCATTTGGTCCATGGGGACTTTTGAGGCACAAAAGTGCTAACTTATGTAGCTGTCTGCAGTAACTGCCCTTCTTAACAGGTGCCTGAATCTCTCACAGGTCCTCATGTGATACCTTTAGAAAGCAACGTTCTACTTGGGAATAACAATTTTCACTTGGGCAGTGTCTAAGATTAGACCCAAGTACTCCAGATAACGTGAGGGATGGATAGCACTAGAAATTCTAGATTGATAGCAGACTTTGGATAACTGATTATCCTGTCAAAGTTTTGAAGGAATTAAATCATCCTTTTGGCATTTGCAGACAAGGTTGTGTCTAAGGAATCCTTCAGTAGGAGGTAGTCCAGGTAACCTGTGACATGGATGTCCTAGGTCACAGAAGAGCCAGAAGTGGGGCAAGCACTTTTGCAAAGAGAAGAGTCGGAATAGTAGTGCTACAAATAGGAAATGCATATGCATAGCTGTATGGGACATTCTGCAGACCTAGTGAATTATATTCACTAGAGCAGCGGTTCTCAACCTGGGGGTCGAACGACCATTTCACAGGGGTCGCCTAAGACCATCGGAAAACACATATTTCTGATGGTTTTAGGAACCGAGACACCGCTCCTGTCTCAGGCGATCTGTGGGCGGGATGATATGCTGCCCCTGTAACCTGGCCACACCTCCGGGATTACTCAACAGCTCCGCCTCCTCGCCGCTGATTGGCCACCGGAACTGTAGCTCAGGAGAGGCACACAGGCGGCCAATCATCGGCGAGGAGGTGGAGCTTGGAGAGGAGGAGGCGAGCGGCAGCGCGCGGAGATCAAAGAAGATCGAGGGAGCTGCAGGAGCGAGTGAAGAGGAGAGAGGCCAGAGAAGGAAGACAGCTGACAGGTAAGTGCAAATTTTGCTGCTGCAGCCAGGTATGCAGGCTGTAGATGGGAGAGGGAGAGAACCCAGGCTGGAGCAGGAGTCAGCAAGGTAAGTATCATTGGTGTCAGTGGAAGGGATAGTGCCCCATCATTTGTGTCACTAATACCAACGATGGGGCACTATTCCTCCCCCCACTGACACCAACGATGGGGCACTATTCCTCCCCCCACTGACACCAACAATGGGGCACTATTCCTCCCCCCACTGACACCAACGATGGGGCACTATTCCTCCCCCCACTGACACCCACGATGGGGCACTATTCCTCCCACTAATACCAATGATGGGGCACTATTCCTCCCACTGATACCAATGATGGGGCACTATTCCTCCCACTGACACCAATGATGGGGCACTATTCCTCCCACTGATACCAATGATGGGGCACTATTCCTCCCACTGACACCAATGATGGGGCACTATTCCTCCCACTGACACCAATCATGGGGCACTATTCCTCCCACTGATACCAATGATGGGGCACTATTCCTCCCACTGATACCAATGATGGGGCACTATTCCTCCCACTGACACCAATGATGGGGCACTATTCCTCCCACTGATACCAATGATGGGGCACTATTCCTCCCACTGATACCAATGATGGGGCACTATTCCTCCCACTGACACCAATGATGGGGCACTATTCCTCCCACTGATACCAATGATGGGGCACTATTCCTCCCACTGACACCAATGATGGGGCACTATTCCTCCCACTGACACCAATGATGAGGCACTATTCCTTCCAATGACACCCACAATGGGGCACTATTCCTCCCACTGACACCCACAATGGGGCACTATTCCTCCCACTGACACCCACAATGGGGCACTATTCCTCCCACTGACACCAATGATGGGGCACTATTCCTCCCACTGACACCAATGATGGGGCACTATTCCTCCCACTGATACCAATGATGGGGCACTATTCCTCCCACTGATACCAATGATGGGGCACTATTCCTCCCACTGATACCAATGATGGGGCACTATTCCTCCCACTGACACCAATCATGGGGCACTATTCCTCCCACTGATACCAATGATGGAGCACTATTCCTCCCACTGACACCAATGATGGGGCACTATTCCTCCCACTGACACCAATGATGAGGCACTATTCCTTCCAATGACACCCACAATGGGGCACTATTCCTCCCACTGACACCCACAATGGGGCACTATTCCTCCCACTGACACCCACAATGGGGCACTATTCCTCCCACTGACACCAATGATGGGGCACTATTCCTCCCACTGACACCAATGATGGGGCACTATTCCTCCCACTGATACCAATGATGGGGCACTATTCCTCCCACTGATACCAATGATGGGGCACTATTCCTCCCACTGACACCAATGATGGGGCACTATTCCTCCCACTGATACCAATGATGGGGCACTATTCCTCCCACTGACACCAATGATGGGGCACTATTCCTCCCACTGACACCAATCATGGGGCACTATTCCTCCCACTGATACCAATGATGGGGCACTATTCCTCCCACTGACACCAATGATGGGGCACTATTCCTTCCACTGACACCAATGATGAGGCACTATTCCTCCCACTGATACCAACGATGGGACACTATTCCTCCCACTGACACCAATGATGGGGCACTATTCCTCCCACTGATACCAATGATGGGGCACTATTCCTCCCACTGATACCAATGATGGGGCACTATTCCTCCCACTGACACCAATGATGGGGCACTATTCCTCCCACTGATACCAATGATGGGGCACTATTCCTCCCACTGATACCAATGATGGGGCACTATTCCTCCCACTGACACCAATGATGGGGCACTATTCCTCCCACTGATACCAATGATGGGGCACTATTCCTCCCACTGACACCAATGATGGGGCACTATTCCTCCCACTGACACCAATCATGGGGCACTATTCCTCCCACTGATACCAATGATGGGGCACTATTCCTCCCACTGACACCAATGATGGGGCACTATTCCTTCCACTGACACCAATGATGAGGCACTATTCCTTCCAATGACACCCACAATGGGGCACTATTCCTCCCACTGACACCCACAATGGGGCACTATTCCTCCACTGACACCCACAATGGGGCACTATTCCTCCCACTGATACCAATGATGGGGCACTATTCCTCCCACTGACACCAATGATGGGGCACTATTCCTCCCACTGATACCAATGATGGGGCACTATTCCTCCCACTGACACCAATGATGGGGCACTATTCCTCCCACTGACACCAATGATGGGGCACTATTCCTCCCACTGACACCAATGGTGAGGCACTATTCCTCCCAATGACACCCACAATGGGGCACTATTCCTCCCACTGACACCAATGATGGGGCACTATTCCTCCCACTGACACCAATGATGGGGCACTATTCCTCCCACTGATACCAATGATGGGGCACTATTCCTCCCACTGACACCAATGATGGGGCACTATTCCTCCCACTGACACCAATGATGGGGCACTATTCCTCCCACTGATACCAATGATGGGGCACTATTCCTCCCACTGACACCAATGATGGGGCACTATTCCTCCCACTGACACCAATGATGGGGCACTATTCCTCCCACTGACAGCAATGATGAGGCACTATTCCTCCCAATGACACCCACAATGGGGCACTATTCCTCCCACTGACACCCACAATGGGGCACTATTCCTCCCACTGACACCCACAATGGGACACTATTCCTCCCACTGACACCCACAATGGGGCACTATTCCTCCCACTGACACCCACGATGGGGCACTATTCCTCCCACTGACACCCACGATGGGGCACTATTCCTCCCACTGACACCCACGATGGGGCACTATTCCTCCCACTGACACCCACGATGGGGCACTATTCCTCCCACTGACACCCACGATGGGGCACTATTCCTCCCACTGACACCCACGATGGGGCACTATTCCTCCCACTGACGCCAATGATTGGGCACTATTCCTCTCACTGACGCCAATTATTGGGCACTATTCCTCCCACTGACGCCAATGATTGTACACTATTCCTCCCACTGACGCCAACGATGGGGCACTATTCCTTCCACTGATGCCAATGATTGTACACTATTCCTCCCACTGATGCCAATGATGGGGCACTATTCCTCCCACTGACACCAAAGATGGGGCACTATTCCTCCCACTGACACCAATGATGGGGCACTATTCCTCCCACTGATACCAATGATGGGGCACTATTCCTCCCACTGATACCAATGATGGGGCACTATTCCTCCCACTGACACCAATGATGGGGCACTATTCCTCCCACTGATACCAATGATGGGGCACTATTCCTCCCACTGACACCAATGATGGGGCACTATTCCTCCCACTGACACCAATCATGGGGCACTATTCCTCCCACTGATACCAATGATGGGGCACTATTCCTCCCACTGACACCAATGATGGGGCACTATTCCTTCCACTGACACCAATGATG